ATATCAAATGTGGTTAGACGCTTGATATTCAAATTTACCAAATATGGTTGGATACTTGAGATTCAAATATACCAAACGTAAGATCATTAGAATATGTCGCATATCGATCCTTCACCATTTTCAATTGTTTCGATCGAATTCCACCATTCTTAAAGTAAAAACGAACAAATTCTTTGGTGTTCTTACAAAACAAATTAATCGGTTTTGCTTGAATAACCTCATGTGATTCACATTCGATCTCTGATAACATCTCATCCACATCTACTCCATCTATCAGGATATCGAAAAATAGTTTAATTCCATACACATCAATTCGCATCTTACGACCATTTGTTAAAATTCCATGTAATCTCAACACATAATCACCGGTCTCATATAACGTTGATTCATCAACATCAATAGGAAGAAAATGAAATTGTACACCATTATAATCACAATCACCAATCAATAAATTCTCACGTGTTATTATTTCCATTTTATGCAATTTTTTTCTCACCCTGGTGAATGTATCACCGGATGAGATATTTATTTCAAATATATAATCAATAATTCAAAATTAAAATATTAAATAACAATTTGATTTAAAATTTTATCATATCCTTCATCATCATTTACAACTTTCATATAACTCAAATACATGAGCTCCATACACAAGTCATATTGATTATAAATCGCAATAAGATAATCATCATCATAACCCACATCCACACAACCATCCTTCACACACTCATCAAGCTCACGAATTCTGTAACGTTCTAACATCTTATCACGAGATGGCTTCAGATATATCACCTTTGCGACATCAAATGGAAAATTAATTTTACTCAATTTATCACCAAGCAACATCAAAACTTCACCATCTTCATCTGGGATCATCACGTTCGTAAATGGAATTGTATCAAGATGAGTTCTATCGAGAATGATATAATCATAATTTTTCAATTTCTTAATTTCTTTCATCTCATTGTAATACGCTTGAATCATTGCATACTGAAAGAAGAAAGCATATTTTCTCGAATCATCCTGATATAACCTTAATTCACTCTCAAGCGTTCGTGTCACCTCCACACGTAACGTCGCATGGTATCCTTGGTTGATGAGATGATCGAGTAGATCTTGTGCGAAAGTTGTCTTCCCCACCGCGATCGCCCCTGTCACAATGATCAACTTGGTTTCCTTCGGACGAATGATGGGTATACTAATACTGAGTAACTCAACGATATCAAATGCTTTCATCTTGACAATCAAGAAATCCAAAATGCTAAATATAATAAGTAAGATAAATTGATACGTCAAATTAATCAACTTGACACACTCTTCAAATATCGAACAATATGAAATCATGACAAAGTTATGCATATAACTCCTCAACCCGGTGTGATAGCACTGAGTGAGGTTCACTTTATTTCTTTCGAATATTATTTAATACAATTTATCTCAACTTGACTCTCTTAGAGTCATCTGCGACTCTTTTAGAGTCATCTGAGACTCTTTTAGAGTCATCAGAGGAATCATTATCGTCAGATTCACTATGTACCCTCTTTTTACCATTGATAGCATCCTTATCATCATCAGATTCACTATGTACCCTCTTTTTACCATTGATAGCATCCTTATCACCATTCATCATTTTTATCTTCATACTACTTCTATTATTTATCCTAAGACTATGAATATTACGTTCAATATCACTATATACCGCTCTCAGGGAATATATTAATGGATAATCAAGCTTATCAAGCTCCTTATAATCAAACCTTTTCCAAATATCATCCCCCAAACTTTCATGAACTGGTATGATATCGTGAACACATGTCAAAAAAATATTACACACGTGCAATCCACCGACCAGTACATATCGATGCTCTATAACCTTCTTAAGATTCTTAGGAAGAATCACGATTCCCGTTTGCTCTCTCATCTCACGAATTGCGCACTCCTCAAAACTCTCACGTTGACCTGATTTCATCTTCAGTTGACCACTCGGGACTTGATAAAACGAAGATCCATTCCCTTCATCCACAAGATTCAACCACACATTCTTTGTACCATCTATCAATATACACATCGAAATATATTTAATGTCGCCTTCAATTATTGTTTTCTCACACTCCAATCTAACAAGATCTTTATTAATTTGATCAATCTCTTGGTTAACTTGCTCCACGGAACCATAGCTCGAATTAGCAACGAGAATGTATGCAGATAACATTGCAACAGATCTCTCCTCACTAGAATGAAGCACTTTCAAATCTTCTTCGATCTTCTGAAGATTACCTATCATCTGTGATGAATAATCTTTCAATTTATTAAAATTATCCATCCTAAAATTACAAATTATTAAAATCCAATTATACATTTTTGATTTCATTCAAAATTTAATATTATTCATTTCATACCTTAATTTATATCCTGAGAATTGACTCTTCAAACATTCAAATTGGATGTCCTTTTATAGAATTTCAAATTCCCATCTTATCACATGAATCTGATGGATGGTCTAATTAATATCATACAAACGAATGATAAAGTGTAATTAATATTATATAAAACACTTACAGATGTAATTTGAATAATTTCAATACTAATCATGTTTGATAGTCTTGAATCTCAAGTATCTAACCATGTTTGGTATTTTTGAATCTCAAGTCTCAAGTATCTAACCATGTTTGGTATTTTTGAATCTCAAGTATCTAACCATGTTTGGTATATTTGAATCTCAAGTATCCAACCATATTTGGTAAATTTGAATATCAAGCGTCTAACCACATTTGATAT